TTGGAATTGCTGAAGAACAGAGAAGCTGGGCTTTTAGCTGGAATTCACACTTATCTGGTGTATCTAAATGCCACACTGAGAATTGGTTAAAAGGAAATGGCTTCCCAATGGTACTAGAAGACCACAAAATGGGAGTAATATCTTAGTTCTTAATGCACACAGGATGCACTTGGAATGATTCACACCTCCAGGTACATCCTAAGTTCCTTTTATCTAGGTCACTGGCCTGGGTCCATTTGCCCACCGTCCAGTGTTACTCCCCCCACCCTCCAAATAAAGATCAGAATATATTCTGGAGATGACTTAACTCTAACCACATTTTATCAAGCTGTGCATAAATGAATCCAAAACATAAAGTCAATATCCATTAAGCTACTGTAAGAAAAACATATGTGGCTAGAAATTTAACCATGGGATATGTCCAAATAAGCCCGGTCTTTGAGGACCAACTATATATCTCCCAGCTTTCAGGAGAATTATATTCGCTTTCAATGTCTACTTTTTGTGCTTGGCACTGACATTTGCTAAAGGTTGAAAATGACTTCCAAGAGAACCAAGTGGTACAAAACACAAAGAATTGCTTTTAGGATAATTAAAACTATTTTGAATCTTTTATTTATCAATCTGTCTTCTAATATAATTTTAGGTAAATGAAAGACATTCACAAAGAATAATAGGCATACATACAGAATTTCCTTCTTTGATTCTAGTTTACATGCTGTTACTTTTAGTGAGTGAAATTTTGGGTCATTTCATAGGGATGGAATCCTGACTGACTTTACAGAAAGTATACTTAGCCCAGCTCTTCTTAGCTCGAACCTCCACAGTCACCATGCTCACTGGAAAAAATTTAAAATCCTAACAAAACAAAACAGATTCAGTAACTTCCATAACTGTCCTTGGCCTACTTGGGAGGAATCCCTTGATTTTCATGGCCATCTCAGAAGCCAGCAGTAATTTACTGCAAATCCACTGAGCCTTGGAAATAGTGTAGATGGCCTTAGTAGACCTTTTTTCCTCTGGAAAATAAACCTGTAAGTATGTGTTGTAAGTTAATACACGTGTGCCCATTTTTATCTTAGCACCTTCTTTACTCAATGGACGATAACGAATCAGATTTTCAACATGGTTTCCATATTTCCCCAACAATGAGTTCATATGCTTTTCATATGAAAAAGAAAACGCTGCCGTGAAAGAAATGCACTTCAAAGTTTCCAACATTACCATGCAGGGTAAGCAGAGTGTGGCACAGAGCCACCAGGCTACATGAAATGCCATCTTTGTATTTTGTATTGGCCAGTTTATGAGCCAAGGTAATCACAGTTGAGGGCATGAGTAAGAGTAAAAAAGGTGAGCTCTATGTCACATCCAGGTGGACATTTAGGGATCTATGCACAAAAAATTCCAGTTCCTCTGGCTTTTGTCTGTGTTGCGTCTCCCTGTGCTGACAGGTTTCCCCTGGAAGTCCACTTGCTTAATAATTTAGCAGTTGAACAGCACTGCCCCTTGTGTCCCTACATGCCACAGCCATGTTGTTTTTTTTCATGTGCTGTCCAAACACGAGCCACAAAGTCAGTCTTCCACTAGGTGCCATTGATATTGGCCTTTATATTTGAGTTTCAAGGTATTCCACAGTCAAGAATCAATGGTACTTCATAATTGTCTTATAAATAGGTAAAACAGCTCCAACTTACACACAGGCAAAGAGGATACAGCAGTTCAGGGGTGTGGCTAGGGTCACATAGCAAGTCTAGGAAGACAGAAAGAGCTGGAACTCATGGGGACCATGCTCACCAAAGCATCATTGAAAAAAGGTGTCCATTGATGTTTAGCCCAAGTCAGCTGGATGCACTGTTTGTTTCTTGTCTATTGAGGATCAGGTGGTTCTACCAGGACAAGCAATTTAGGACCTGTCATGGGCTGGCTAACTTGAATTTCAATGAATAATTGCTGTTTTTCTTCTTGAAAACTGCTTGACAAGGTGGCAGAAGGAAAAAAAATAGTAAGAGGTTCAAATCAGCTGAGGCATGAGACACAGGGCTGTTAACGTTCACACCATAAAAGGAGGCTGAGGAGAGGAGAAAAACAGAACAAGTGGAGGGATGGAAAAGAACTGATCCCATCATAGAAGGAACTAACAGCTTCTTCCTGACACTACCTGGACTTGCATTTTTCTCCTGATCCCTGTTCACTTCTTCTTGAAGTGTCGTCTGGAGTTTTTGGCTGAACCCAGCTCTCAGCCGGCCTGGGCCAGATATTCAACAAAAACATTGAGGTCTTGGACTCCAGTGCATCTCAATTCCTATTCCTTTAGGAAGGAAGTCTTGTCTGTTAAACTCAGGGCAACAGGAAAATTTCTAGTAAAAGCCCTCTAAATTTTTGTTCCCAGCTCTTCTATAAAAACTTTCACATAAAAAGTCTTTTTTGAGCACTTGGTTGAAAGCAAGAAGAGTCAATATATGTTTACATATTAAAAAGGGCAGAAAAGAAGAATTCAACATCAAAATAGTTTCTGTCTCCTGAGCTAGCTTCCTTAAGCTCTAGGGGATATGGTATTTTGCAAACTTAGAATGGCACTAATTTTCATTCATTCAAAGTTCCTACCGTTAGCTTCATGAAAGAATGTAGATATTTGCTTTATATGTTCAGGTTGGTTCTTGCACACAAACCCTAAGTCAGCCATTGATATTCCCTGAAACTTTTTATTGACTTTCTTATTTAGGCTTTTCTTATTTAGGCTGATCTGGATCTTGCTGTGTAGCCTAGGATGGCCTTGAACTCATAATTCTATTTCAGCCTCCCAAATGCTGGGATTATATTGGGACTACATGCGTGCACTACCATGCCTGGCTCCCTGAAACTTTCAAACAGTCTCTTGTTTTTTTTGTTTTGCTTTTGTCTGGTTTTGTTATTTAAAGAGACTCTCACTAGCCCTTTTGTGCTTGGTTGATAATGTACTGGGGTGTAAGATTTGGAGATTGGGGGGATAGAATGATAAAGCAAGGTTAGCTGGGTTTGGGTCATATTATGGCTATTAAGGCTGCTCTGTGCTATGCTGCCAAGGGAGGGAATTGAACAAAGAGCCATTTCCTTTTCTTCACATAAGTAAATCATTTGCCCTTTAAGAATGTACTGTATTTGGCCTTCATAAACAGATAATGGGAATTTTAGTTAAACCCATCATTCCAAGAAGAGGCCAAGACTTCCAGCATTCATTTGGCAGTTAATTTAGTTACTTAGCATCTTATCCACCTTTTGGTGTCCTGTCTGCAAGCCACATTGTAGCCTTGTTAGGGGAAGAGATTGTTGTAGCTGTCTCTGTGTCTTCATTGATGGTGATATGAGAGAATCATTGATTTCTGTAGGCATTCTGTGCCTTCCCATCTGCAAATTTTGTGAAAGAAGAGTTGGATCTGATTTTTCACCTTTTGTGGCAGGAATGAGGAAAGAAGAGAGGGAAGAGGGAAGGGTGCAAACATTTCAATGCTAAGGGATGTTTTGATGGTTTTAGCCTCCTAATCATTTTCAAAGAAAGGAAAACTGCTGAGACAATTCCTGGAGAACACAGCTATCATGAGAAATGCAAGAAACAGTCAATTTCCGTCCGGTTTCATTTGCTAAATCCAAAAATAGCATCTGTAAAATAGGTTTAACAATCAGAAACACTTCTGAACCATAACGTTAAAACTTTGCCCTTGCGATTTGACAATACATAGAGGAACCCACAATGGCAGTCACCTTGGTGAAATAAAATGACTTTTGCCTTCATATTGACATATGTAAATGTTACAGTGTTCTGATATTTAGACATTTCTGTTTTAAATGTCTTTTATGGGAGAATGACCGAGACTTTAAGGGTGTTCATGAGAGTGTTTGAGGTCCACCAGCAACCCTTTTTGTGGTTACCTTGTTTTGTGTCCTTGATGTGAAGAGGAATGAGCCTGTCCCTTGTGCTCTTTGGAATGTGTCACATACTGGTGCCATGTGCCATTGGCAGCTCTGGATAATGTTTTCCATAACTGAAGAAACTGAGATCCTCCAATAAATTAGGTGTTCAGAGACTCTTGAATAGCATGTGTACATAATCCCAACTACAATATCCATTTTATTGGCCAGACCATCAGAAAAATAGCACCCATCATACCTTCTAAACCTCATCTTACCTCTTCCAAGAGAAGAAAAGAATGACCGTATTAAATTCTTTCAGATGTTTGAGTCTACAAAAATTTTAAAAAGAGATTTTTAAGTATTAGAGGCCTGATTTACAATGATTATAAATGGTAGTTATTCTAGAAATAATTTTTGTGCAAATTTTTTTAGGAATAAATTCTTTTTGCATGCTCCGATAGGAAGCAGTTTCCCCATTTGTTTACACAAAGTCTATTATTTTAAAATAAAATCAGTGAGTTATTTTTTGAAGTAAGTTGGCCAAGGTTCCTGATTAAACTAAGAGGTGTGATTCACTAGACATGCCCGTTCTCTAACCATGCTTGTGGTGAACTTGAGAGTCAAGTGTGTCTGTCATAGAAGATCTCTGAATCATAGTAGCGCCTCTGTTTTGGATGGAACGACATGTGGTATCGTTGATTTAAAACATGGCAGTGTTTCCCATATGATTCCAGGAGAGCAGCAATAATAACTTGGCTTTATTGTGCTGTGTCAGAGGATGCAGTCTGCTAGGATTTTATACAGGAGTGTAAAAACTGGAAGTTTAAAGCAAAATTAGTAGAGCAGCCTAATTTGCGCATTCACCAGGAGTGTCCATAGTTTAGCTACAAGTATAAAAGAAACAGCAACCAAACAAATTATACCATCTGCCTCCAATTTCCCATTGAGTTACATATACACATATAATGTAATCCAGATGTTGCAGGTAAAACAGGAAGTCTTTTATAACAGTTGGTCACCATTGTATTATAGTTACAGATATGGAATAGATCTAAGACTACATACATGGGACACTATTATCTTGTAGAATTCAATGAAAAATAAAGCTCACAACTCTGATATACACTACTTTCCCTGGTTCTTTCCCAATTCTCTCTGCTTGTGCTGATTTTGTGGCTACATGACAGGAGCCATATACCTCTTCCTTCAACTGCTGCTGTCAGGCAGGGACTCTCAGAAAACTGGCTTAAGCTGAGGTCTCTGAAAACTGGCAAATAGGTTCTCTTTGCCCTTTTCTTTTCTAATTTATAGGATACCAATAGAAATGTTGTATGAACACAAACTAGTTGCTATAACAGCCCAGAAAAAGTTGATTATATGCAAAAGGAAGAGAATGCCAGAGGATCTAGGGATGTGCATCAAGTTTTTCTCAAGAAAAAATATCCACCTTCTAAGGGCTCTTAAAAATGTAGAAAACTTGCCCTGTTACCAGGGGTTTTTAGAACACCTCTAAGCACACACAAAATAGGACAGATATTACCTACAAATCTCAACCATTGCTTAAACTCTAAAAGCATTTTTGTATTATTTTGTATTATACTGAAGGGGGAACTCAGCTATAAAGAAATATTAAAAAGTTTTTTTGTGTGTGTGTTTTGTGGTGATCAGTCTCGAGAATATTGTTGCCTGCCTTCCGCAGCTGTGCTGATTCTGTAAGGATGTGCTCCGGGTATAAAGCGGGGTGCTCTCGTCCCTTCCCCTCCTCCCTGTCACGCCCCTCCCTAACCCACGGCCAACAGCCACCCCTCAAATGAGCCACTCCTTTTTGCTTTCGTCAATGGTCTCTGTGAAATTGGGGTCGTTGTTCATGATGGCAGCATCGGCGCTCTCCGCCGACTCGGCTCCCTTGGCCTCGTTGGTGTGGTAGGTGCCCTTGTGACGGAACATGTACCTGATGAGGAAGACCAGGGTGCAGAGGATGGTGAAAATCACCACGGCGATGACCCCTGGGGACACGAGAAAACCAGGTTACACCGTCCTGAAGAACCCCAGCACTTCCCCTTATGTCCCCCACCTCACAGCAGCTCCCTCCCACACCATCCTCTCCCAGGTCCAATGGAAACCCCAAAACCACCACCGAAGGGATCAGGGGACCTGCAGGAGCAGCTTGTCTTCCAGCCCAAAGTAACTAAAGTACAAAAGGTGTGAAGCCTCAGCTCTCAGACATTAGTAACAGAAAAGATTCAAAATGCCTGGGAAAAGCCCAAAAAGGTGAATTTTACACTTTTCCTAGTTTTCTGGCTGGCAGCAATTTCTGGCTAGCACCTTAGCTGTTGGGGCGGGGGCGGGGAGAGGGCGGGGCGGGAGGGCGCATGCGCACTGCTACAAAGTCCTCCAGGACTGCTCAGAGGCGTCTGAGTCTGCAGCAGAATCCGAATGTGCGCATGCACCGGATGAAATGCCACAAGGCCGGGCCAAGAGCAACGACTCAGAGATGACAAGCAGGACAGTTTCCAGAGCTCACTCAGCTGGGAGACGTTCATGTTCCAACCAACCACAGTGGAGAGACCTCTTTGAATACCCAGGGCATTTGTTAAGCACTATGAAGGGTCATGCTGAAGGTGTTTTGCTAAAATAGGCCTAGATGTAAACGCCACCAATATTTGTCCTTAAAAAACTTCAAGACAAATAACACCAAGCTGTAAGTAACTTAATTGCCTACCAAAACAAATCTCAATACTTATTAAAGGAAGATAATAAAATCCTTGTGTAACATTAATATTGTCTAGAATCCAATAAAAAAATTACTAAGCATGCAAAGAAAAAAAAAAAAAGGTAAGAAAATGTCACTCCACCAGGAGAAAAATCAGTCAATCAGGAGATTTGGAAATGACAGCCATAATGGAATTAGCAGATAAGGGCCTATGCAAATTAATCACAAGTGAACTATGGAGGACAAGGCATAAGGTTATTAGAAGGACTAAAGACTATTTCATAATGACAGACAGTCCATTTTTCTAGGAGACGTAACAACTCCAAATTTGTATACATTTTGATAGAACTATCGGATAGTGAAGAAGTCCATAGAACCAGACCAGTTTACAACTACAGCTGGAGATGTGAACACTCTTTTGCTTATAATTGACAGAACAATTAAACAAAGTTAGTAAGAAGCTATAAGACCTGAACAGCATTGAGTTGACACTGAGGCAAGTTTGTTAACAAATCACAGATTGGGAGAAAATATTTATAATACCCATGTCTGACAAGGAACTTACATCCAGAATATAAAAAGAGCTCTTACAACTCAATAGCAAGAAGTCAAAATACCCAATTAAGAAGAAATGGATTAAAACACTCTTCACAGAAGATTTGCACATGGCAATAAACACATGAAAAGATGTTCAACATGAACAGTGATCAGATAATTGCTCATTAAAAGCACAGATGCTACTCCACATCGGAAGAAGTGGCTTATTAAGATGAGTGACAACACCAAGAGTGGGTGAGATTATGGAGCAATTCTTAGGTATTGATTGTGGGACTATAAAATGGTTCAGTCATTTTGGAAAACTGCCTGGCAATCCACTTTCTATGACATCTGGTGATTGCTCTTCTAGTAATTACCAAAGAGAAATGAAAACTTATGTTCACCTAAGACTTGTACAAGAACATCCACGGACGCTTTATTCATAATAGCTCACATGTGGAAACAAATCAGCAATGTATCAACAAGTAAGGGGATAAAGGAAATTATTGTAATCTGTTTAATGGAATACAATTTACAAGCAAAAGAAATGGAGCATTGATAATTGTAGCAATGTGGTGTGGACAGATCTCAAAAACATGCTGAGTGAATGAAGGAAGGCGTGGACAGGTTATATACTATATGATTCCAGTTGTGAAGCTCTAAAGGGGCAAACAAATCTCTAGTGACAAAAAGCAAATCAGAGGTCGCTATGGCGATGAGTGGAACATGAGAGGTCTTTGTAAGGTGATGGAATGTTCTGTGGGCTAGCATGGTAGATATGGGTGCATCACTAGCCAAAAGTCATTGACCTGATGACTTATAGTTGTATTAAGTTGATTAAAACTTTTTTCAGTACTGGGAAATGAACCCAGAGCTTTGCACATGCTAGGCAAGTGCTTTACTTCTTGAGTGATGCCCCAGTCCAAGGGTTTGTTTTTATTTATTTATTTTTTGCAGTACTAGGGTTTGAACTCAGGGCTTTGTTTGCTAGTCATGTGTTTGAGCCATGCCTCCAGACCTTTGGCTCTGGTTATTTTGGAGATAGGGTCTTGATTTTTGCCCAGGCAGTTCTGATCACAGTCTTCCTATTTTAGGCTTCCTGCCAAGCTGAGATGACAGGCTAGAATCATTAGGCCCAGCTATTGGTTGTAAAGGGGTCTCAAGAACTTTTTGCCTGGGTTGGCCTTGAACCATGAGCCCCTGATCTTAGCCTCCATGTCACTGGCACCCACTCCAAGTTGATGTTTTTTTTAAAGGGAAAAACTGTAAGGATAAGGAGCTGAGCTTTGGATAGTGATGTTATCTAAGCACCCTTCTTAATGTATTTAAATTTTATAGCTAATACATTTCTCACAAGAGTCTACTTCCTTTCTATGGGAAAAGAAACTTACAGGCCAACCCATAAAGATTGGCTGGGTTTGCAATCTCTGATATGGTTCAATTTTAGCTATTTTCAGGGAGGCAGGGAACATCTGGTTGGGTCAGAAAGAAGGAGCAAGGAGAGAAACAGATGGTGGGTGACTGGGCTATCAGTACTGATCCAAGTATGGGAGACAGTATAGGGTCAGCTATTCAGCAGCTCTCCGTGGTAGGAGAAAAGACTAGATTATTTTAGGTGTTCTGGCCTTTAAGTTTTCTGACAATTTTTATTAAGCTATCTAAAATGGAATTGGCAAATTCCTCCCCATTTTTTATGGTAAGTTATCCTGCACCATTTGGGATGTGACAGGCTGAGTGTAAAAAGCAGGGGAATTACAAAATGTCCTGGCTGTTGTTTCTACTGCCTACTTAAACATTTGGATTCTTGTTTTTACAAGTCAGCATTAAAAAATAGTGAGGTTACATTAGCCACACGTCATATTTCACAATCTTAAATCATATTTAAATGACAAACGAATAGCAGCAAAATCTAGACAATTCTTCTGTCTCTAGCCTACTATTTCATTGAAAATCCCTACTTTCCACAGGTGAGTAGCCACACAAAAGCCTGGTCTATACATCACCTACCTCCAATGATGGCGGAATTCCTGTTGACTCCATTTCTTATAGCTTGGCCTTGTCCTGGGTTGTATGGAAAATCAGCACTGGCTGTACAGAGAGACATGAAATCAAGTGTGAGGTCATGTAGGCCATTAACCCCAAGTAATTTGATACCCATGTCTTCACACAACTCCTTGACACTTCTTGTTTTCCCAAATGAAATCCCTATTTCAGATGCACCCATGTTACTGTCGTCTCCTACAAGAATCCTAGAAACCCCCATCCTGTTCTCGTTCCTCTTCACCAAGCCCCAGGTAAGCACTGGGGGTAACATGGAGGGATATTAGAGACTCCTAGTGCACCTGAGCTGGCCCAGTTCTACTGGCAGACAAGTTTATTTTCAGAGTACAGTCACCCCGTGGTATCCTGCAGGATTGGTTCCAGGACACCAATTCATGGATGCTCAGGTACCTTAGGTAACTTGAGTTCATATACCTTTTACACATCTTCCTGTATCCTTTAAATAATCTCTAGATTATTTAAAATAATTAAATAATTACTTAAATTACCTAACTTAAAATTACTTAAAATACCTAACACAATTTGGCGTTATATTGTACTGTATTTTTTGTTGTTGTTGTTTGAGCCAGGGTCTCACTGTGTGTCCCAGGCTGTCCTTGAAGTCAGGATCCTTTTGCCCTGGGATTACAGGTGTGTACCTCCATGCTCCACTTGCTATACAGTATTATTTAGGAAATAATAACAAGGAAAAAAGTCTGTACATATTCAGTAAAGACACAGTTTTTTGGGTATTTCTTGTCTGCAGTGGATTAAATCCACAGATGCAGGGCCACGGACAGCTGATCATGTGTTTTCTTAGGTTTCACTGAAATCTGCCTCCCATCCACTTCTATTCCATTCACAACTGGTGACCTTGGATGTGCATGTAGATGAGATTTTTATAGCTAACAGCATTAATGTAAGAAGTGATCATGTCTTTAAACTAATACTTACATGGCTCTACTAAAGCATTATACACTTAAGGAATTTGTAAGGGTTTATTTCACAAATGCTAAGAGAATATTAATGGCCCAGTGAATTTTCAATTTCTTTCCCTACAACAAAAAATAAGAATCATTGTGTTAAATTTAAATGTTTCTATAAGATGAAACAAATTTCAAGTACATATAGGGCAAATAGATCTTGAAGTCTTTCTGAGCTTAGTGGAGTATCTGTTATAATCCACACAAGCCAATTCAACCTCAAAAATGAGTTTGTACTTGTGAGACATCAGTTTGAGAAGCCAAGGTAAATCTCTTGGAGACAGTTTTTCCTTGAGCAGACAGAGCCCACCACTTAGTCTGGAGAAGACTTATGGCTGCTGAAATCAGTGTCAAAATATTTTTTAGGTAGATATTTGGGATCATTAAATGTGAACACACAAGAAAATAGGTTCTTGTTATGATTCAGGCAGAACCTCAGTAAGCACTCTGTTTTCAAAGACTAATTTATTTCTGGCTATAAATTTTCCACATGACTCCTGGCATTATCCTTTCTCTTCCCTTTCCCTTAGAAATGTGGTGATCAAAATGGAAGAGAGATTTCAGACTCTACAGTATGTGTGATTTAATCCTTTCTCTCTTAGACTGGATATTCTTACTTGGATCAGAAAAATAATTCCTTCCTACCTGTGTACTAGTGTCATTCAAACCTGATGACTGATTAAAACTGCAGACTCTGAGAAATGTATGAATGAAAGAAAATTGATCTCTGAGCCCTAAGGACTTTCCAAATTCTCCGAAGTCTTTAATCAGTGGATGCAAAAGAGACGTTTGTTGTTACTCTCTTGCTTGAAGGGGTCCTTGTGTCGATAGTTGAGGAAGCAGCAATGTACACATAGATAGCTATGTCCCTCTCATCTGCGTCTCCCATCCTCCTTCAGTATTATCTGGGCTACTAGAAAATATTCAAGATTCCAAATGTCAGCCCAAGAAGGCAAAGACCTGTCATGCACAGGCTTATCACCTGGTATTAAATTGGCCACAACATTATCCTAAGTGAATAAAACTGGTCTTGGCTTTCTTCCTTAAGCCTGAGTTTCTTTTTCGCAGAAGCAGCATCTGAAAGACGCCACACGTTCATTCACTAAATCTTTGCAGAGTGTGTACTACGTGTCTGACTCCATTATAAGTGGACATGTTGAGAAAGAAAATAGGCAAAAATTGAATTAATGAGAATTTTCCTGGTCTCATGTGGTCTGCTCATTGCACACATCATGGAAAAATAATAAAAGGGTGGACAGCATTCGAATTGTGGTCCTGTCCACTGACAGTGAATTGCTGGGAGCTGACTTCATTCAGGTCATGTGGCAGATAGACTACAGCACGGTTTCTCTTTGCTCCAAGACTGCCTTGTGGCATGGTATCCTTAGTCACAGAACTGCAGAAAAACACAGATGCTTAGAGATACGGCTGGTCTAGCCCCAGTTCCTTTGATGCTACTGATATAAACTGGTGGAAAGTGTGGAAGTAGTAGAATAAGTGACATGAGATGACCCCAGAAGAATGACAAGAGCTAAAGGAGAACATTTCAAAACATCCCAGGACTGTCTCTGGAATGAACCCAAACTTCTTGGCACGGGGACAAAGGCCTGCCATTGGCAGAATTTCCCTCCTGCTTCTTCCCACATGGGACCACTTTTCTAACTCAATATTTTGGATACATGGGATTTCTGACACTTCAAGTCAGTGACACTTCAAGTCACTGCCTTGAAGAGGTTATGCTCTTGACAGAGGTGATGCTCTCTGTCTGGACATCTGGTTTACTTTTCCTCTCTTTCTCTGTCAAATTTCATCTCTTCCCTGAAAGTATGCTCAGCCACCTCAGGTTAAGAAGCTGGCTCTCTTTTCAATGGCTATAATCTTAGTTCTTATCTCTCCTTACATGTAGTTGTCCTCTTGTAGACAGGAGCCAATCTTAAGTATGTGTGCAGTTCCAATGAATAATAAAGTAGTAGAAAGGGCTGAATGGATATTCATTGACTGGTAAAATTCAAGTCAGCCTATTAAAGGCTACATTTATGTAGCCTCATCAATAATACTCTTCCATGCAGTATAATTTTAAAACTTGGCTGTCTACTTCTAACTAAAACCTTAAAGTAAGGCAGTGTTCTTATTCCTCCCAACAAAGGAAATGAACATATTGAAAAGATATTAAAGATTCCTTTTCCACTGGTCTTCAGTAGTTGTTAGAAAACAATTAGTGGAAAATCCTTGGGTTAACAGAAACCGTATGAAGTTCAAAGGCAGAATTTTTTTTTTCATGAGTTTTTATGGCTTTATTTATAACTTGAGCCTGGCTGTCCTAATGCATGTGAATGCTTGTTCCCTTGGGGCAAAGCTATTTATTCTGGCACTCAGCAATTGCTGTCTTGACAGATACATTTCATTGTTACTGTCCTTTCCCTTGGGTACTAACATCCTCTTGGGAAATGCACATAAAGAAATACAGTGACCAAGAGACACCACCAAGACATGGATGATGAAACCCAGTCACAGGGGGTGCTTTATTCTACTGCTAACATCCATACGACCACAGACTATATTCAATACATTTCTTCTAGCTCCCCAGATGATATAACATGATGACAACCAGCAAGCATGGCACCATTCCAGCTTTGACTTAGGGTCTCATAAAGAATGTGCATTTCTATGCATTTCCCTTGCTTATGGCCTTCTTATTGTCTGGTTATCTCCAGTGTTACACTCAGGGACCAAGTTTCCTTTGAAACAACCAGAGATTTGCTCCAACCCCTCCTCTACCCAGTCCAGGTCAGGCAGGAGGAATGATGACAGAACATTCTTCTCCCAGGAAAGTAGGCTTAGCAAACAACTGGCTAAGGCTTCAGAGCCTCCCCACACATGCATGACTGTCCTTCCTACCCACAGAGAAGACAAATGTATCACAGGTCCTCAGACAATGTCAGACACAGTCACATCCACACTTTAACATCAGGTGCCCTACTTTCCATTGTCTCTGTCTTCTGTATGAGGGGCAGTGTGACAGCTCCTGACTGGGAATTTCCCCTTTTCTCCCTCTCCATTTTTAGTTTGGAAAAAACAGCAAGTAACAACCAGACATACCTTGTAAGAGCAAGCACAGTAGAAGCTAGTCCTCTTAATTACACAGCTCTACTAGAATGGTTATGAATCAGAACTTGCTGAGAAAAAGCATTCTTTTCTTTCCCCCCAAATAATAGAAAATCCAACTTTTCTTCCAATTCTGGTTTTGCTTTCTCTCTGCTACATTCTGAAAAGACCTTGTTGTGAGGAAAAGATGACAGTCTGGTTTGCATCTCCTATGTCTGTGTACTGGGCAGGTCCAAATGTGAGGTCCTTCCCCCCATATCAGAGACATCCGGAACTCTCGAATGCAAGGGACAGGTTCTAAACTCTAACATCAAACAACAGAGACCCCGAGTCACCATGCCAGCTGTTTCTATGTGCTGAAGATTACACAAAGCAAGTCAGTGCTTGGATCAGTTTTCTTACATGTCATCCTCTAGTGCCCAGTCAGAGTCTAATGTTCTGTGACCACAGAACAATGTTCAAAGGCTAAATCACCCAAAATGGCAGGAAACCAAGTGGTGAATTTCCGTGGAATCAGCCTACCAGTGTTTTCCTTCTGTTGTGAAGTACCTAAAGTAAATGAACACGACATTCATATTTCAAGAACAATCTGTTTAGGAAATAATAATAGCAAATCCAACACTAAAGAACAGCAAGCAGGACAACATCTTGGCAACAGATGTGAGCCCCTAATGGGTCAAGATGACAGAGAGAAAATGCCTATCACCTAGAACCAGAGTAGTGCTAACTGTGCTTTAAAACATTGTCAGAATATAATTTTTCATTGTATTTATAGAATGAAAAATTAATAAAAGAAGTTTTAAGGCAGCTACTTAAGTACTGGAAACAAACTTAAAAGATATTTCTAAGAGCAGAATATTAAGAAGAGAATTGAATTTTTGACTCTCCAAGTTTTTATCTGTCCCAGTGAGAAATAAGGAGAAGATGGAGTAAGGCTTTTTTTTTTTTTTTAAGCACAGA